AGGTACTAGCCTATATGACAAATTTATAAAAAGCATATTTTTGCATAATGATTTTAGATGTTAGAAGATTTTGCCAGAATGTGGGAGTCATGTAATACTTTTTTTTACTCATTTTCCTTGCAGCTGTTTGAAAAGATTAGAAATTACTGCACTTCAGGTATTCCGAGACAGAGACCAATGTCGCATGAATGGTTTCTCCCAAAAAAGGCAAACAGCAAAACATTGAACTCATTGAATTAAATTATATATATTAAATTATATATATATTTATTTCAAGAGTTCCATAAAGCTCATCTGTGTCATCAGTAAGTTCACATGTGATGGGTTTAGCGGACAATTAAGATTATTATACAGATGGTTACATATATGCTGTACTAGCACTAGGCTGGATTAACTGCTGATGTTTTGGCTTGACAAAGAAAAACTAACCAGATAACGAGATGAAACAGCCCTACAGTCCCTCCTGTCGACTCCAATCTGCAGACACAAATCTCCTCACTTCCACTGTCAAATCCAAGCACCAAACTTTAGGGAACCGAGCATTTGCCATCTCTGCTCCCACTCTCTGGAACTCTCTGGAACTCTCTCCCCTCTCAGAAATTCGGACTCACTAAACTCCTTCAAAAAACAGTTGAAAACTCACCTCTTCCCCCAAGCATACAACTCTTAGTTTCAGCTTTGTACTCTTCTCTCCGGCATTTAGATTTTTCTGTCTGAATGTGTGTGTGTGTGTGTGTGTGTGTGTCCTGAATTGTGAAGCGTCTTGAAAAGCACTATATGAAACCAATGCAGTATTATGCAAAGCAAAAGATATGAGGCTGTCCGAGACCCGTCCTCGTGATCTTCTTGATGTGAGTGCTGCCTGATGCGAGTGCTCTTGTCAAGACCAAACACAGAATGAACCTGGAATGTTCATTTGGAGAGTGCATAAACCCGCCAACACCACAGATCATATAGGATTTTCAATTAGGTCTTCCTACCATCGCAGCCCATCCACACCCCAGCTCAAACCATTCACTCGTTTTTGCGCAATCATACCTCCAGACACACACTCGCACACACATGGAGACAGTACCCCCAGACTGACGCCCTGGTAAGCTCTCACAATGCCAAAATATGTTTAAAATGACTCAAACAGACTAAAATAAAGAATGCTCATCCTCGGGTCAAATGGATACTACTGCACTTGGCAAATCTTGATTGACATTTAGACACATATAATTTTTCCATAACCCATGTACAGTATGTTTTTCATGTTTTTGAATAATTAAAGCCTAATTGTGACTAGACAGATACTTTATTGATCCCCCGAAGGAGAAATTCTGGTGTCCAGCAGCAGAAAAAAAACATTCATATAAACACAATACAAAACTTGCAAAAGACTAGTGAAATTGCAAAAGGTCATTCCAATGTGGGTTCATGAGCTGATTCTGAAAAGGTGGTCAGCCACCTTCGCTGTGGTAGTTGAAAACCTTGCTTTGAAATGAACAGGAACACAACCTTTGCAGATACTAAAGGAGAAGGAGCTATCATTGCAACAGTGATAGCTGAAACTGCAATTCCAGGTTGTTTACCAGACTGATTGTGTGGCTTTTACATACAGTAGGCTGCACACAACAGACTCAAAAGAATGATTTGCAGAGCATAAATACGCCATCACAATATAAAACCACACAGACAGACAACACAGACCTCCGTGGCGGTGACAGAAAGACTCAGAAAGATAAACATCTAAGTGCTACACTTCAAGCTGATCCTGTAATTATTGCTGGAATGTTTCTTTTTTGATGTACCCACTGTCATTGTCTGTGGTATTTCATTTATACAATAAAAGCATCTGGTATCTTTATCCACAATTTTATTCTCCTGTTTTACTAGGATTCGTATATACATAATGTTAATTCTTTGATCACGTGTCGGCTTGACCCATTAAATAATTTTTTTTTACTATAATCTTGTAACAGAGTACATTGGAGCTTTCTTTTGACGACTTTAAACATGCATCTACACATGTTTTATGCATAGACTGTATAGATATAGACAATGCTAACCTATGCTAACCCTAAGTCCAATAGAGAAGTGATCATGGGTTAAGTTTTACTCCAACAGTAAACTCCGACTTAGTAACCATTTTGGACTTAAAAAGCTGTGGTTTAGCACTCTGTATGATCTAGGTGTTTGCATTTTAAAATTGTCTTTGTAAATCCAGATATAAACGATATAAGGATCGACCAGTCAGATGCCTTAATTCCAGTTTGCCTTAGCAACCATCTTAGCAACAAATCTGCACCTGTTATAGTGCAAAACTAACACCATTGGAACATACTGTATGCCCATATGAGAGAATTGGCTCCAGCTAGCTCATGTTCAAATCGGCTTTTTCTGCATTTTGCAAACATTACGGGTGACATCAGCACTCAGCCAGTCACTCCTGACATACGTAGAGTCAATGGTTTTACATTTCAGCATCATCAGTATTCATTGTTCTGACTAAAATTGCTATTTCAATATAACTGCGATTAACCTTGCTGCCCTAATAGCTTGCAAATTCTGGCATGTACGCGTGTCTCTGTCTGTTCCCACAATGCTGTCTGTTGGCAGATATGTGCACCCCTAGTGTTTTTTTGGATTCTGCATGTCGTTATAGCTCTGAGCTCATCACCAAGTTCCCTGGCAAGTCGCTCTTAGCACCAGTCACAGTAAACACGTTAATACCACGTGAAGACAGGGAAAGGCGCAAACAACAGATTAAGCAGAAGAGAAAGAAAGAAGAGAGAGGGAGAGAGAGCGATGCATGGAGGAGCAAAGGGCAAACTCAGCCGATCCAATTCATTCGGGCTGATAAGAACAGACAAAGTGATGAATGCGCCGCCCGCGAGCTGTAACACACATATTTACATCATAAGCATATCTCCACACGCAAAGAGCCAGGGTACGCCGGGAAGACTAGCCAGACAAACAATGGCTGCAGTTCAGAGCAAGAAAAGCCAGCTGTAGCAGATGCCGAAATGCATGTTTAAGGCAAGAGCCCGCTGGCGTAACTAAATATTTCTCATGTCATTTTACTCTTTCATAATAAGCTTATATCAGACTTCACGATGAGAAATTTTTTTCCATTGGCGTTTAAAGCTGTTTTATTATTATTTTCATAGAACTCCCAGATAAGTCACTTTGAGGGCTTTTAGCTTGTATGTACCGTTTTGATCTTCCTAACTTTGTGACATTTTGAGTATCTGTATACACTTAAATGTATTTTATTACTTCAATGTTCTTGCACTTGTATTGAAATGTTTTTTGTTGATTGATTTCACAGTGACAATTGAATAGTTTATATGCAAAATCACCCCTTGTTGCGCAAATTCTTTCAAGGGTACTGCCATTAACAGAACATGTTGAAGGTTGTAACTAGAAGAATACAATATTTGGACCACATTTCAAGATGGAGATATCTGTTTTTGTATATGAACTCTTCAATTGTTTCCTGTACAATATTAGCTTGTTTTATTTCTCTACTTTTGTTTTGCTTGCACTTGTCTGGTGCACTCTGGGGACTTTTGCACAAGTATTCCAATGTAGTTTTACTGCAAATTGCAAATAAAATAAATCTGAATCTGAATGTAGTGAATGGAATCACCTTTGTGTGACATTGTTCATTGAAATGGGCTACACAATTAAAGATGACTTACTTATTTACCATTTACTGTGTGGAGCAAAGGGTTTTCCAATCTTACACGTCCTGCATTTCTCTCATTTCTAAATGTCTTGCCCCTCAGTGCCTAATACCTACACCAAGTTAATTTCAGAATTTGAAATAAGTTAGCTCCATACATTGAAGGTTGCAGCTTCTTTCTACTATTTCTAAAGCATGATGTCCATAAGATTGTAACTTAAATATCTGATTATGTCATATCCCCCATCTATAATAACAATCATTTTTCTAATACTATTGTGGACACAGTATTATCTGACAAATAAGCCAGTGTGACGTTTCGTCCTTTATTAGAGTTTCAAAAAGGGCTGAATAAAAAGCTAATCCTCAGAAAGAGCTCCAAATGTGCGGGTTAATCCGGCTGATTGCGGGATGCATTTAAAAACAGCATTTCTATCATTCATGTCCGTGCTTCTTTATGATGACTATGAATAGCAAAGAACAGATCCATGCATTTCTCAAAGACATGTTGGATAGACACGTTATATGTGGACATTTTTTTTACTGGACAAAACCTCTGACCTGCATGCCCATTGTTGGCCAATGAGAGGGAAGTTATTGGTGGGGTGGGGGGTAGACAGAGAAGGATGAGGCAGACATGGGGGGTTCGTGGAGTTAGTTAAATAAAAGAGTGTATTATTATGTTTTGGAAAGTCCCTTATCTTTGTCCTTGAGGTCTAGAATGTGAGGGTGATAGATACGAGTCCATCATGCAGAGAACAGTTACACAATTATGTCTAATGAGTGCAGTCTAACCATTTATGTATCTGCAAAGTTAAAATATAACATCATATAGCTAATTATATAGTCTTTTCATCTAATTTTATTTCCACTTATTCCAACATTTGATCTATCACTTGAGAAGATCAAGGCTGTTGTTCCTGACAGAGAAGACATTGTCCTGTGGACTCACTACCTCAGTTTTTAGGTCAATGGTTCAGAGAGTTAATCTCCCATCACTTTGTCCATAGGAAAAACAAAATCACCCATAGCTATGGCACTAAATTGCAAACAACAAACAAACAAAATTATAATTGTCTTTAGGAGAATATAGTTTTAAAGGCAAACGGCATGGGCGCAAGAAGTTTCAAAAACACAATTTTGCCATGTATTTGGTTGTAATGAATAGAAAATACAGTACACACACAGTTTATAACTGCATGTCAGAACACATTCTCAGAACAACGTCACAGCTAGTTTATCAAAGTGTGATGGAAAGGGACAGATCCCTGCAGGACCCTATTCAACCCAAGGCCAAGGCAAAAACTTGAACACGTTTGCCCGAAAGAGATCACATCATCAAAAGAAGGCAGACATTGATGCAGGCCTGTACCTTGATGGCGGTGGAGGCGATCTGGATGTGGTGAAGCTTGTGCAGGGTGCTCTCGCGGTCAATGAAGTAGGAGGCGGCCAGCTGGTGCAGTGTCTCCAGGGTGACAGCCGTGTTGTTGGGCTCGCTCCCTTCAGGAGAGCGGCTAAGCTTCCTCTTGTCCACGAAGATCATCAAAGACTCCTCTCCTGCAAAACACATGCCAGATCAAAGCATCGTGGCAGCAAGAAGGTCATGCATGTTCTCTCTGTGTCAGCATAAGTGCACTAAAAACATGTACTATTGTTGTGTGTTTGTGAGTGGGACAACGGAAAATGTGCCATGATGACAATCTGGTGTATTTACAGCACCCGCTGTTTATGAATACACACTGTCCCATCCAAAAAAAGAAATACATCAAGAAAATGGAACAGAACCGGGAGCATTTTGCTCAATGCAATCTGCTAAATGATTTAAATAATGTATGGGAGAGTAATTGGAAAATGGTGAAGATCTGAATTATTAAATGCCTAAAAAAAAACAATGACTTGTGACAAACACTTGTGCTTTACAATACAGTTTTCATTGTCTTTCATCTATGCAGTGATTACAAGCTTACTTACGGTCACAGCTGCCCTTCTAGTGCAATTTTGGGTGAAATACCCAGAATTTGGTACCACTTTTTTGGTGCCTGCCATAGAATTAAGTCAACATTTACTGAACATGCAACAAATGATGATCAGGCAGATCACAAACGCACAGGGTTTGAATGGTTCACTCTGAGATGCACCAGTGTGAATACAAAAGTAAGCTCTAAGCTATTTTTAGTGTTTTTTTAAGTATTACAACGTAATGGATTAATGCTAGCTTTAGCTGGATTTTCAAACAGAAATAATTTGTGTACTAAACAGATACATAATTCAAACACAACTCCAGGTCTGTTTTGGGTGGCTTTGATGGTTGTGTTTATAAGGCATAATGAAATAATAATAATAAAAAAATGTCTGGATAAATGCAGAGAATTATACATTTATCTACACATACAGCCTTCCCACAAAAGCCACATTTAGTTAACTTTGAGGATTTTATTTTCTCGGTCTTTCTCCATAGTAGATAAAATAAAACATGAGAGCAGCGCTGTCAGCATTTAGTAGACTTTACTCTCTCCCTGTAGTGACTAAAAATTGCTTTTCTTTCATAAAAATCAGGAAGAATTCAATTACTGTAGAACATAATTGTATTTCTCAAACCAACATTCAATAGATTTCATTTTCACATTCTTCTTCTGTGACTGCAGGTGTAGTGTTAAGATATAGTGGATTCAGCAACAAATTATTTATGGGTTTGAGATATTTTATTAAGCTCTCCTCTCGTACAGTAAATCTAATTAGCTGGAGCGTGCGTAAGATAATCTTGGGGGGAATCTTTGAAGCCTTAAGCTAATCACAGCTGTGCAAATAGGATCGGAGTGTGGCCTAGTTTAGAAACAGAACCCATTGTGTTACTGGAAGAAGTGTCTCTGGGGATTGGTGGAAACTGGTTTGATGTTTTGAAATGGCTTCTGACCATTCTTGAAAAACAGGCACAATTAAATATGTTGGATCTTTAGTCCAAATTAACTTCGGTATTGATTGGTTCATGTCGTAGAACTTGAGATTGAAATGATAGTGAAATGTATGTGGAAAGAATATAAATAACCCATAAACCCTTCTCAACCAACAGATCAAGAGGCTTGAGTTCCATTACTGGGTTCAGGTTTCTAATTCTGTCAGATGGATAACTTTAAACGCCATCAGACATAATCCCGGGAATAGAAATGTCGAGTTTGTGGGATATTGTGTTTGATTTCAGTCACCAGAAAGTGAATAATTGTAGACAAAACGAAAACAAAATAGGCCTATGCATGAATCTTTGAGCAAATGTGTTTGTTTTATCCATATTGAAATACCAACTATACAATGCCAATGATATATGTACAGTCTGAACTATTTGATAACAAATTGCTTTTCCAAATGAATGAATGCAATCTCTGAAATCTGCAAACATCATAAATTTGACCGAGTTCCAGCAATTTTGTGTTGACAAAGCTTTGTTCGTGTCGGTCAATATCAGACACTTAATCAAGCAAGCCTTTGATTACAAGCAGCAGAGATGGCCCTTTTAGAGAACACACTATTGATTGAGTGAACAAGTGAAAAGTCAACACCAAATCCTCTCCTGCGACATTACTTTTTATTGAAATGTGCTGTAATTTCCTTAAAAATAAAAAACGTTCAGACATTTTATCATTTAATCTAAGCGTACTCATGGGTTTTAAGGTTCTTGCAAAACTAATATTTGGAACTTCGAATAAAATTGGGTTAGCAAAAAAGCCGCAACCTAATTCTTTTCAACTAACTTGGAGAAATGCACTGCTGGCATAACTTCTACAGAAAGTGCTGCAAATAACAAACCATGAGAATAAGTGCAAAATATACCATTGTTTGTGCATCTGAGCTAATGATTAACTTAGGAAAATCTTTGTACTTTTTATAGCCGCGAAGCTATAGCCTCGACATTAGCGGAGGTGGTAGGACACCGCGTGCCTGGCCTTCAGTGTTTACGTGGTTTTGTTTTTGTATTTTCTTTTCAAGTTTTTTCTTTCTTTTTTTGTGTGTTTTTGTAGTTAATTCACAAGAGAAATTCAGATGAAACAAAACAGTTGTAGGAGCCGCAGGGAGCAGTGGGAATAGACAACAAGCTCAGATCTAATATTATCCAAAAGCAGAGGTTGCATTACGCTCTTTTTTTGTGAGGAACTAAAATCAAATATGCTTTTTGGCTGTGCAGTCCAGACCGCAATACAACTGGGGATAAATAAATGAAGTTATTGTCTATAATTACGTGTAGAAATTAAAATGTTGCCAGCTCATAATCTCTGTGGTGTCTGGTTGAGTGATTTGAAGTTATTTGAGACCAATTTAATAGGACAAGAAAAACAATGCTGTGAGTTATCTTTTTCTTTCTGATTGAAAAGGTGAAATTGTTTGATAAAAAACACTGGGACGTTTTGTTTGTTTGTGTCCTCATACATCAAACATCAAGCCTTTTAACTTTAGCAATTTTTCTTTATTACCACAACTTTGAAAGAGTTAAGGAGCTCTGGAAATCTGTTTTCGTGCAATGGTAATAATTATATCAATTTCTACGTAAATTAATTTTAGCATTTGGTTTGACTTTGGAAAAAAAATATAGTTTATATGCAAAAGCAGATAAATGCCATGGAAACATATCGGAAAAGCCAACAATTTTCTCTTTACAAAGTAGTTTTGTGAAAAGCCAGATATATTTTAGTGCCATACAGAAACTTTCAGCCCTTCTTACGCAAATTCCGTCAAGTGTTACTGCCATTAACAGAACATGTTGAAGATTGTAACTAGAGGAAAACAATAGTTGGACAACCTTTCGGATATATCTGTTTTTGCATATGAACTTTTCAAATATTGAATAAATATGGGTTTAATCAAAAACGCTAACAGTGAGTATTGATGGCTCAGTATAATGAAAGAATCTCTAAATCTTAATCAAGTTATATGGGCTACCAATTTGTGTTATACACCACATAGATCAATGTAAAGCTAATTCTCATGATTGCATAATGTATTAGAAACAGGAATACATGATGCAAGTTTGCTATGATTGATAAGAAACTGATGAGCGTTCCTTCTTTTGGTACAGATCTTCTTCAGTTCCAACAATTTGTTTTAAGTTAACCAAAAGCAACTATTCGGTAAATACCGGCATATGTAAAAATATAAGATAAAATAAGACAGACTTTTGTGATCTCACACTGGAGAAATTTACACGTCACATTTGGCACAGATAGAATAAACCAAACTAAACCATAAAACCAACCAAACGGGGGTGGTTAGAAGCTTACCTCCCAGCGTGGCAGAGAGGAGGAAGTGCGTGCCGTATTTGCGGATGATGTTGTCGGTGATGGCGGCCACACTCGGCCTCCTGCCCAGCTGCCTGATGGTCTGAATAAAGTCCGGGTCCAGAGGCAAAGAGTAGCCGCTGTTCTCCTGTCTCTCAAGGGCCAAGCTATTCACCTTCCAGCGGCCAAACTCCCTGCAAAGCGACAAATAGAAAACAATGAAATGAACGCACTTAGACGAGGGGAGACGGAGGGCTTCACACTCCGGCGAAATTCTCACAGTCCAAGCACGACAACTAAACAAGCCAAGAATAAGACATCGTGACCATATCATCACAATTGTTTAAACAGTCGGCAAAGCAAATCAGAATTATTATAGTGGCACAGAGAAATAGTGCAAAAACACATTTGTCCCATTGGCAAATCCATTGGTCATCAAAATGTGCTCAAATCAAGATAAATTTTTCGAAATCTTAAAAATGTTTGTTCGTTTTAACTTTTTGCAGTATGATACAATTCATATACTAATGCAATCTTTAAAACCATAAAATCAAAGACCATATCCAGAGGTCAAAGCTGCAACAAACACAGGGAAAAAAATAGACATACAGCAATACTTTTGATCCAAGTGAAATCCTTCGTTATTTTAAGTGAATATTAGAATTCACTTACATATCAGCAATTTAGAACAGCAAGCAAAAGGGACTGCGGGAAAGAGTGGACATAATAATGCTGACGTCATTTAGATAGTTCCATTGCCCTTGGATGAAGCCCAGGAATAATACCAGCTAATGTTGTAACACGGCTCTGGATTTGGAAATCTTGGTGTTTGTCTCATGGCCAATCATAAGTGAAGGGCGAGCTTTGGAGAGCAGCGAGGCGCCCGCACATGAGCTGCTTAGGAATACGATGGGTCTTGATTTACGAGACAAAATTAAAATTAAAACCCCAAGATTGCTTGGGTGCTAAATATCTGGCATTTTAAGACCAGAAATATGAGTCTGTGAGCAGCAGGGACTAAGAAAAACACATTCTGATTTTTGACCACGTGGTTGCAAGCCTCACCCCTCCTACAATCTAGGTTAAAAGTAAAAACAAGGTACATGTTTTACAGTAGGATTAAAAAAGCAGTCATTTTGACAGCTCCCAATTCTGAAAAAAAAAAAAAAAACATGAAGATTTTCCACCAGTATCAATGGCACTGTTTTTTAGAAGTGCAAAAACTGGTGAATATACAGTAACTGAAATACAGCAAAAAATAATTTGTTGAAAGACTTTCAAAGTATACAGTATCTCAGGTGGAAAACCAACTGAGTCAGAACGAGAACCAGTCCAGAACCATTCCCGAACCAGTCAAGGACCAGTCAAAAGCCATTCTAAAACCAGTCAAGGACCAATCTAGAACCTGTCTAGAACCAGTCGAGAACCAGTCAAGGACCAGTCTAGAAGCAGTCAAGCACCTATCTCGAACCAGTCCAGGACTAGTCTAGAACCAATCTAGAACCAGTCAAGGACCAGTCTAGAAGCAGTCAAGTACCTATCTCGAACCAGTTCAGGACTAGTCTAGAACCAGTCTAGAACCAATCAAAAACCAGTCTAGAACCAGTCAAGAACCAATCGAGAACCAGTGCAGGACCAGTCTAGAACCAGTATAGAACCAGTCCAGGATCATCACTTTGGATGGAAAAAGGTAGAATTTCTCAGATTCACAAAATAAAAGATAATCATTAAAAATAATGGCATAGAAGTACATATAGAAACAGAAAAAGTCCCAATATTTAAGTAGAGATCCCTATATATATATATATATATACTTACCCCATCTGGGTTTGGAAAAAAATACGATGCAGTACTTTCAACTATACGTAATTATAAGTCTAGGTGCGGTAGTATTTCAAGCACATGACATGCAACTCTTTTGATAGAGGAAAGATATGTTTTTTTTTTGTAATTATACGTCTTCCCTCCTCCTAATGTCACGAGATTGTAGAAATGTCTCTGTACTACGACACCGCTAAAGTGATTGACTGGCACATATTGCAAATGAAGTGGTTGGGTACATAGCTCCTTCTCACATAAAACTACAGTATGCTTTGTTTTGCTCATCCCTAGAATAATGATGAGACGACGTAGAGGCGGCTCTGCTCACCGGGGAATACGACGGTGGAGGAATTCCAACACACAAGGAAATGAGATGAAAGTGTAAACATACGAGCCCCGGGAGCAGACTACATGCTACAATATGTTTAATAATATATTTTTCATTACATATATGAAGGCTGCAAGAACACTGAGAGTTGTGTTTTTTTTGTACGGGAATGAAAGCAATGCCGCCTAGACCAAACGAAATTTAGACGTGTGTGGCTATTATTAGTATGAAACTAATAACTTTCTGAAATATGTCACCTGTATTCGTCTTTCACGAACGTAGAAAAGGCAAGGCAAGTATATTTGTACAGCACCATTTCATACACAAGGCAACTCAAAGTGCTGAACAAAATAAGATAGCATTAAAATCATAAATAATCACAGTACATTAAAAAGAAAGATACAAATATAAAATATACAATCCCTCAGTTGTATGCACAGCTAAACAGAACTGTTTTTAAACTTGATTTTAACATTGTCAGAGAGGAGGCCTGTCTCACGCTTTCAGGAAGATTGTTACAGATTTTAGCAGCATGAATTTGGTTCATATGGTACTAATATGTCACTAATATTTTTTTGTGCGAGGCCATGGAGAGACTTGTACACGTACATGTATGTATAAGAATGTTCACTTTTTGAACAATATTCTAAGGAAATGGCCCAAGTTTGGAGGTTAAGAGAGCGGATGATTCAGATGGATGTTTTTATCATAATGTTTAAACAGCCGTTGTTCTTTCAATAAAGCTCAGAGCAGCTGTCCCTGAACTCTGGAGTGCTGCACCCAGACCTTACTTTAGGAAGCAGTGGCTTAGAACATTCATTTTCAAAATTTATTAGAGAGAAATGTCTACAAAAAAAATTAAAAGACCATTCGATAAGTTTAGCAGGAACAACTAGCAAAATGGCTGCCAGCAAGTATGATAATCGATGGTAATTACTATATTGATTTATAAAACAATAAAAGATGGGTATATGTATCATCTGACCATTTACATAACACATTGAATTGGAAGTGAAGATGTGTTATGTAAATTTCTTTATTTTTCTTTTTAAAGCTAAATGGATTATCCTGCGTTGTTTAAATAAGTAGTTATAGTATGTATAATTTCGATCCTTTCTATCTATCTATATTATCGTTCATTGCAAAAATGATCTGATCTCAGCATTCACTATCTCACCAGCTGCACAGTTACACACCGGCGCTCATCAGCATCACTTCATAGCTACATTTAAACAGAGAGTTCCTCCTGCAACATTTCTTCCACAATCGAATCGCCAAACCTGATGAATGTTCCAAACACGATGAATAGACTACTACCACAACGTACGTCTGCCGGGTTTAATTCTCTAATCACACAGCTAAAATATATTAGGGCTGTCAAAATGATCGCATTAACGCACGTTAATTATTATTTTTCATTAATCACGTTAAAAAAATAAACGCTTTTGACGCATGTACCGAATGACCCGCCCACGCATCCCATAATAACACTCAGAAGTTCCGCAGACACATGCGTGTGTGAGATGGCGACGGAGCAGGTGGCATTAGTTAGTATTAGCACAACTTCTTACAAGCTGTACAACAATCGCTGATGAAATGATACCAAAGCATTGCACTGCTAACAAAATATACAGTACAATAACTGAAAGATTACCGCTAGTTTCGCGTCCAAAGTTAGTCTGAGGTGGTCCGCTCCCGCAAGTCTCTTCAGAGGATACAATGTCAGCTAGCTATGTTCACCCGGGCTCGATGTTTTCTCTGATCATTCTTTTGCTTTAGTTCCCTCTTCTCCTCTTCACTTTTGCGTCTTTTGGGCTGTTTTGCTGTGTTTGCAGTTACAGCCAGAGGATATAGCCACTCTCTGCTGCCATGCTGTTCTGTTTACCTGCAGACGTTAGAGGAGGCGGCCTGTTCATAACAGCGCTGCCCCTCGGTGGAAGAGAACGAGCGTCACGCAAAGTTTCTACTCAGCACTTTGCCTGAATTCATGCACAAGCTTAATCAATGAGCTAAATTTTTCAATTGAAAGTACAGGTTTTAATTCAACTTTTAATACAACTTAGAAAAAATACTGTCTTATGCTTAAAGACAGAATGTTAATGCCGTTGTTTGTGGATTTATTGTTATAATAAACAAATACAATACATATGTACGCTATGTCATATCTTTCCATTCAAACAACCGCTTATAGACAAATTTTACCGATAGTTCAAAATACGATTACAATTACTTAATTTTTAAGCTGTAATGAACTTGATTCAAAATGTTAATCGTTTGACAGGCCTAAAATATATACAAGCAAACATACTAAAAAAAAATCATTCTAATGCATCTCTGTCTTGAGTCTTTCCAGATTTAATTAGTTATCGTGACAGACCTACCAGCGAGTGATTAGGACTCCCAGAATTATGAAACCGCTAGAACTCCCAGAACAGTTACTTTGACAGCTCCCATTAAAATCAGTGGAGTTATGGTAGAATTTGTAAGCAACCAGTGTGTTGCTATGGTAATTAGCACTTGTTTCCAAAATGAGATTGCTCTGAACTGGTCTAGGATCGAGATCATTTCATAAATATAATGATATAGCTATAGACTACATAAAGAAACAGAAAAAGTCACAAAGTTATGAAGACCAAAAACGTACATGAGCAGAATATCTACACTTACAAAACAAAAGGCCGTCAAATTGACTGCTCTGGGAGTTCTAGTGTTAACCGGAGGAGTTAGACCACCCTTCAAAACACATTCTTTTGTATGAGAACACGTTGCTCAATCGTCTCCAGCTGTACCATATCATTCTTATTCCCTACGCAGTTCCGGCCGATAAGACGTGTTGCTTTCTGTCACCTCGGGAAGACATTGCAGCGCGCTCCTTGTATTCAGATCTTGCTCCTCACCGTGTAGAAAATACAAAGTCGGCATGACCCTCGAAGAACAGGCCGGAGCGCTCTTTTAGAAGATGAATAGTGGCATGCTGGGTTGTAGAATTGCTTTGCACCATACTGGAAAAAAACATTGTGTTTCTCAGCCGTTTTGAATAATAGTAAGTCTTTCCCATCTCAAGTCATTTTGTGTCACTCCATGTTCAGACCGGGCTTTGATAATGGACACATCCGCAATTTTAGAGAATGAGGTCATTTGAACATATTTTGGTGGAGAGATTTGGTTCGAAAAGGAACTATGCATTTTGTTTGTTTGGTTGTTTAAGATACAGCTTGTATTACATGTACAAATATATTTAACATTAGGATATACAAAACAAACAAAAATGGGAAGAAACTTGATTTGATGGCTAAAATATGCACTTTTACTCACTCTCAACAAAATAAACCTCAAACCCCAAATGCAATTACAGTTTTAGAGTGTTGGATTTACGGAACTTAATGCTTCTTAGAGCACTGAAAAGAATAGAAAATACATTATGGATTACATCAAGTTACATCAAAATACTGCACATAAACAATTAAAATACTGAAAATGTGAATACTGTTCAATTACTTATGTATTTATACTCGTGACAACAGTCTGAAACTCATATGTAGTTTATGATTATGCTTCACAGCTTGTAAAAACTCCCTGAAAATTAGGATATTATGAAAATGACTGCAGGCCATAATCATCAAAAAAATAGCCAGAAAAGGCCAGCTGTGCCTACACTGAGTCTAAATCATGCATTAGTTTCCCATTTTAAGTTAAATTACATAAATTAACTGAATGCTTTTCTAATGCACAGAGTTTCACCTACAGTATATAAAAGCAGAGCTCAAAAGCTGTCGTCAGAAGCAAAAATAGCTCTCGTGGATGTATTTCCTTCTACATATTGGTTGAAAATTCACGGCAGCAACGAGAGACAAAGGCAGTGGGAGGAGACAACAGGCAGTATACAGTGTGGATAAACAGTAGGTCCTTCTTTATAAAACATAGTGTGATTTTGAGTTTTATAATAATCTGAACAATATGTCTATTTTGGATGCATGGTCCTAAATGTTTAGGCTGAATGAAAGTTTTTTTATTCAGACAAAACAAGCAATTAATCATGTCCATATGAAACTAGGATGTCCTGTATCAGGTTTATATTTACTCATTCTGTGATTGTTCTCTGTTGCATGATACTATTAAAACAATTGTACAACTTCCACTACTGCTAATGTACTAAACATTTAGAAGCTGATTTCAATCCAAAATTTGTCTTAAAATTTAAATCTTAATTTCTCAATACTCCATAAGACACACACATCCTTCTTCAAAGCAAAACAATAAAAACACCTGGGCTTTATGTAAGCGTTTGAAGTGATGGATATTTGGACGTTGTTTGAATTTGTCTGAAAAACTATTCCAGTTTAACGCCACAGACCGACTCCGGTTCTTTAATGAATCGTGAAAATTGCAAATGTAGGAAAAGGAGCACGCCAATATTATTGTAATGTTATGCCAACAACATGAGAAACAGCATGAGAGAATTACTTACAAAACATTTAGTATTTGAGACACAGAACAACATCGTCAAACTCAGATCTGTGAAGCACAGCGGAAGAGCCCATTATTGTTGTCTCACCGTGACAAAAATGAAGACAACAAGCAAAGGGAAGTGAAGGAGAACTTTGCAAAAACATGACATTTACAAGGTGCAAATGCAAAATATTGTGACAAATTCTTCTTTTCTTTTTTGTCACA